GGGAACAGACATGCCATTGTAACATCACAAACCCTCCATGACATTATCACCAGTGTGACGTGACATCATTATGACACCATCAGCTCATTGTGATATCACCAAACTACAATTACATTGTAGCATTATGACATCACATTGACATTGTGACGCCATAGATACATTGGAAGTACCTATTCTGTGATTTCATTCTAATTCAAATGTGGCATGTGTGTTGATAGCAGAAACCTATTGTGACCCCATAACTGTTGTGACATCACAATCCCTTTGTGACATCACATTGCCATAGTGATATCACTAACCCAGTTTGAGATCACCAACCTGTCCTGTTGTCGTAATTTTTGGCATGCAGCCATTGTTATATCTGTGGCTCTTTGTGAGCTCATAATCTGTTTTTGACTTCAAAATATTTCAAGTATGACATGTGATATTACAAATCTACTGTGATATCATGACCACTGTGATATACTGCCAGACATGACTATTTTGTCACATTGTGAAATCTAATACCTCTTAGAAATTCATTTGTGACAACACATGCTGTTGTAGATATCATAGTCCTTTTGTAATCTAATATGTTCATTGTGAGTTAATGACAATTGAGATTTGGCACGCAATTGTGACATCACCAACCCATTGTGACATTATAAAACTATTGTTACCTCATCACTATTATTGCATCACCAAATAATTGTGACAAAAACATTATTATATGATAATGTGACATCACATTGCCATTGTGATATAGTTGTCCCATTGTGTTTTTAAAAACCTCGTATGATCTCATAACATTGTAGAAAACTCAAGGGCTTTGGAGCTTCAAGCTCCTTTGTGTTCATTTTGAACTAGAAGCAATTGAAATTGGACATGTTATTGTGATATTGGAAACTAGTTGTGACATCACAATCCCATCCTGACTTCATCAACACTGACGGTCCAAAACTATATGACATCTTAGCACCTTTGAAAAAAATGGCCTTTGTGAAATCACAGTTCCTTTCTATACCCATATCCTCATTGTGAACTAATGACAATTGAGATCAGACATGCCATTGTAACACCACATACCCTTTGTGAAATCACCAGTGCTTCATCACATTGTCCTTATGACACCATTACCTCATTGTGGTATCAGAAACTATAATGACATCATAACATTAAGACATCACATTGTCATTGTGACATCATAGACACATCATGATCATTGATGTGTCACAATCAGTTGGTGATGCCATACTGGTCATCAGGTCACAATAAGTTTGTGGTGTCACATGGTTTGGTGAGTCACAATGGCATTCTGGATCTCAAATTGTTTTGTGATGGCATAGTGTCGATGAGGTCACAATGGGTATCTGATGTAACAATGAGTTTGTAATATCACAATATATCCAATTTTATATATCCAATTCACTTGGTGAATTTGGGGAAGTGGACTTCACAGAAGGAAAGCCTGGAAAGTGTGGGTATTGGTATCTCTGAGTACTAGTGATCACTTTTTCAGGCAGGGTTAAGGCATTTCCAACAAAAAATGAAACTGCTAACGTAACAGCTAAAAATTATGCCATGAAAGAATTCCTAGTTTTGGCTTACCCTTAGCAGTGGGGTCTGACAATGGCCTGGCCTTCACAGACAAGTTACTGAATTATTAACTAAGGCCCTAGGAATAAATGGGAAGTTACATTGTATTTATACACCTCAGAGTTTAGGGCAGGTAGAAACAATGAATAAGACCTTAAAGGAAACTTTAAATTAATTACAGAGACTGGACATGATGGGTAAGCTTCCTCCCCTTTGCTCTCCTTCAAGCAAGATGCACCCATTAGGTTAAAGCATTCACTCCCTTCAAAATAATTTATGATAGACCACCCCCTTTGGTTCCTAAACTTGGGAAAACTATATTAAGAGAAATGTCTAACCCCAACCTTGTACAGTCTCTGCAGGCTTTGCAACATATTTTAATATATATTTATTGTAAAAAATGTTGTACGGAGGAGTTACACTTACATGAGTAGGGTAATAAGTACATTTTGTAGCAAGCATTGTTACCTCCTTTAGTTTTGCCCCTACCATCACTTCCCTTCACACCTCCAAAATTCCTCCTACCCCCGCCCACCCTGACATTGTAAAGGTCATTTTCAACATAGTGTCCTGTACATCTTGTCATCACCATGGGTCAGCCTGAATCCCTATGTAAGCGCCCTGCAATATCCCTTCCCCTCCCCAAATTACAAGAATGTATATACTAAGTGCAGAACACTGGAATCAAATCCAGTGAAAACAAGGGTTATACCATGGGGAAAGAACATACAATAGAAATAAAAGAATCACATAGTGTATTGTAAGTATATTAAAAACACTACCAAGAAAGAGAGAAAAAAAAACTTCTTGTGTTCCTGTCTCCTGTCTCATATGCACATAGACTTTGACCTACTCTGCTTGTCCTAGACATGTGCTAGTCACTGCAAACAAGGGAAACCATGGGACCTATGTTTCTTTGGGCTTGGATTACTTCACTTAATATGATTTTTTCCAAGTCTTTCCATTTCTTAACAAATGAGGCAATGTCATTCTTTATAATATATATATATATATATTTATATATATATACAATGGAATTCTATGCCTATATATATATATATATCACATTTTCTTGAGACATTCATGTATTGAGGGGCAAATGGGTTGGTTCCATATCTTAGCTATGGTAAATAATGCTGCAATAAACATGGTTGTGCTGGTAGCTTGAGTATGGCATACTGGGAATTTCAAATTTTAGTTGCATAATTTTGGATGAATGGTTTGAATAGTGCACACAACACTGAGAATTATTATGGCAGTGCTTTGCATTCAGAAAAATTCTGTCAGGATATTACAAATGGCAAGACTTATGTGTGATAGTCACTGCAAGTAAAAATGTTACAATCCAACTGAACTGTTTATTAAAAAGAATAATGCGCAATAATAGATGGAATGAAGTGGCTCAGCAAAATAGAGCTCTCAGAGACACGCAGGAAACACATGTTGAACTTTGCTTGTAATCAAAAGAACAAATGCTTCCCCCCCTTTTTTTTCATGACTGATTTGGCAGATTTTAAAATATGCATGGTATTCCTCCCTTGGCATGGTTCATCTTGCAGATGGGCTTGGTTGCAAGGAGATGTGCGAGGCCCAGCCATGGGGCAGCAAAGGAGGATTTGGCTATGTGAGGGCACTGCCCGGAATGTGGGTGGATAAGTGGACAGCAACACAGCATGCTCCCTCCCTCCCTGCCTCCCTTCCTCCCTACAGCATTCTCCCTCCCTCCTCCTCCCTCCCTCTCCACAGCATTCTCCTTCCCTCCCTCCCTCCCCACAGGGTGCTCCCTCCCACCCATTCTCCCTCCCTCCCCACAGCATGCTCCCTCCCTTCCTTCCACAGCATTTGCCCCCCTCCCTCTTCCTCCCCACAGCATTCTCCCTCCTTCCCTCCCTCCCTCCCCACAGCGTGCTCCCTTCCTCCCTCTCCCCTTCCTCCCTGGTGTGGGGGAGGCTCTGCTCCCCCATGTCCTCCCCATCACCAGGCCTTAAACCTTCAGCAAAACAACTGGTTTGTCCCTTACCTTACTGCCTCCTCTGGAGCTCTGCCTGACACAGCCCTGCGGTCTGCAGGGCCAGCTCAGCCGAGTGCAGTGCATGGCTTAGGCTCAAGGAGAAGACAGGTGAGCCTGATCTTCCTGGGCCTTGTGAGCACCTAACAACATAGCCCTGAAAATGCACCTCCACAACTAGATCATCTGCGAGGACTCCGCTGAGGAAATAATTAAAATCACATGCAAACCTCGACTTCTCAGAGTGCTTTCCAACACTCCTCACATGCCTGAGAAAAAGGAAGGTAAATGAATGTTGAGCAGTACAGCGTGGATTCAGCAGGCTATAAAGATATTAAAGCAATCATTTGGGAAGCACTTATAAACAATAAAGATATTCAAAATATATGAATTGATGATAAAAAATGAACAACCATTTATTTATAATAGAAATGGAATAACAAAAAGTTATGCTGGGCTCTAGTGCCTTATACCTGTCATCTTAGCTACATGGGGAGGCTAATGGCTGAAGGATTGTGATTCAAGGCCAGCCAAGACCTTATTTCAAAAATAAGCAGCAAGCCGGGTACTAGTGGCTCACACCTGTAATCCCAGCTACTCAGGAGCCTGAGATCTGAGGACCACGGTTCAAAACCAGCCCCAGCAGAAAAGGCTGTGAGACTCTTATCTCCAATAAACCACCAGAAAAACCGAAGTGGCACTATAGCTCAAGTGGTAAAGTGCTAGCCTTGAGCTGAAGTGCTGAGGGGCAGTGCCCAGGCCCAGAGTTCAAGCTCCACAACTGACAAAAATAATATTAAGCTGGGTGGTGGCTCACATCTGTAATCCTGGCTACTCAAGAGGCTGAGATCTGAGGATAGTGGTTCAAAGCCAGCACAGGCAGGAAAGTCCGTGAAACTCTTATCTCCAATAAACTACCAGAAAACCAGAAGTGGCACTGTAGCTCAAGTGGTAGAACACTAGTCTTGAGCTGAAGAGCCGAGGGACAGTGCTCAGGCCCAGAGTTCAAGCCCCATGACTGACAAAAAATAAAAATAATAAGCAGCAAAAGACAGGCCTGGAGGTGTGGTCCAACTGGTAGAGTGCCAGCCTAGCAAGCCTGAAGCCCCAATTTCAAATGCCAAAGTTTTCAGTACCTACATCTCATTGGTGCAATGGGTCCACCCATATCTCTATTTAAACCATTTGTTTTTTCCCTTTCCCTCAACAAATTATACCAACAACAAATATGGTTATACTGTGGGGGAGGGACATATAAAACAACAAAGAAATCATAAATATGTTAGACACAGTAGCAAGAAAGAAAAAAACATTTGAGTCCTTAACTTGGGGTTCATTTCGCTTAACATCAACTTATCTGATATTTTCTGCTTGTCTCAGACATATACTAGTTATTGCAAATAAGGGAAACCATGGGACCTATGTTTCTTTGGGCCTGGCTTACTTCACTTAATATAATTTTTTTCCAAGTCTTTCCATTTCCTATCAAATGGGGCAATGTCATTCTTTCTGATAGAGGCATAGAATTCCATTGTGTATATATACCACATTTTCTTGATCCATTCATCTACTGAGGGGCATCTGGGTTGGTTCCATATATTAGCTATGGTAATTACTGCAATAAACATAGTTGTGCTGGTAGCTTGAGTATGGTCTTGCTTGTGATCATTTGGGTAAATGCCCAAAACTGGGATTGCTGGGTCATAGGGGAGCTCTATGTGGAGTCTTTTGAGGAACCTCCATACTACTTTCCAAAGTGGTTGAACAAGTTTACACTCCCACCAGCAATGCAGTAAGGTTCCCTTCTGTCCACATCCCCTCCAGCATCTGTTGTTATTAGAGTTCTTGATTATAGCCATTCTAACTGGAGTGAGGTGGTATCTCGATGTTGTTTTGATTTGCATTTCTTTTATGGCTAGGGAGGTTGAGCATTTCTTCATGTGTCTATTGGCCATCCTTCTTTCCTTTCAGAGAAGTTTCTCTTTAAGTCTTTAGACCACTTGTTTCTTTGAAGATTTGTTGTTGGGGGATTTAGTTTTTTGAGTTCCAGGTATATTTTAGATATGAGACCCTTGTCTGTTGTATGACTAGTGAAGATCTTCTCCCAATCTGTGTGGGCTTTCTATTGATCTTGCTAGCTATGTCCTTTGCCATGCAGAAGCTCTGCAATTTCATGCAGTCTCATTTGTCCAACCAAGGCAGCTGCCAACTTCCAAGACTGCATGTCCATGAAGAAGGTGGAAAAGCAGATTCTCATTGTGCAGAACAAGAACAGCCCTTACTTCACACAGTGGATCCCCAAGAACATGAAGACATCCACGTGTGACATCCCCCTGCGTGGTCTTACGATGTCGGCCACCTTCATTGGCAACAACATGGCCATCCAGGAAAACTTCACTCGCATCTCAGAGCAGTTCACCACTATGTTCCAGAGCAAGGCATTGCTGCACTGGTACACGGGCAAGGGGATGGATGAGATGGAGTTCACTGAGGCTGAGAGCAACATCAACGACCTGGTGTCTGAGTACCAGCTGTTCCAAGATGCCACTGCTGATGACCAGGGGGAATTAGAAAGAGAAGACTTGCTTGAGAAAGAGTTTTAAGACTTCTCATTTCTGTCCATGTAATTGTAACCCCTCCATACAGTATGTTCACAAAAATAATTAAATTAAATTTTAAAAAAAGACTTCTCATTTCTAGCAGTGCAACTGGACTGCCAGAGCCTGCCTACTGCTTCTCAAATGAATGGTGCTTTCCTGAGCTCCTGTTGTCCAGCAGCGGGGTCCTTGCTGTGTATCATCATGCTCAGCCTTGCCTGTCAGGAACTCACAGTGAACGTCAACATGGGAATTTCTTTTAAATATGATTGTTTATAAACCCCACTTATATAAATAAGTCATCACTGTATACCCTGAGTCGCTATTCTTCCTTGAAATACTTTTTATTCTTTCAATGTGTTTGAAGTGTAAAGTTTCAGGATACAATCTTGGCAATATAGGATTTCTGCTCAGAGGAGTTTTAAATTCAGGGCATCCCTGCTGTTTCAAGGAGTAAGATGACAAGTGCCCATGTTATTTGCCCTGGCCCACTTTTAAAGCTAGCAATCTCTCAATAGCGTGCCCATAGCAAAAAAGCAGCTTGAAGAGAAAGCAAACCAGATCCAGATGTTACAATTTTCCTAGTACCAAGGTGATGTTTGGAGTACTGAAGAGATTGAGGTTCAAGGCTTGTCTGGGCACCGAGGTAGCAGGGCCTCTTCCTCCTTCAGTCTGACACAGGACTTGTTATTCCTGCCACCTAGTATGCATCCCTTTTTGGGAATGGGACCACAAAAGGCAGATATAAATACTGGCTATCAAGGTTCTACTTCTCCTTCAGACAACCACAGGTTCTTGTCTCAACCCCCATCAGAGCAATTTCAGTCACATTCCCCAGTAACTGTAGCAGGAACCCCCATCCCTGTGCTCAAACACAGTTCACTTGGCAGTGAAGAAGCACTCACAGGATGAGTGCAAGATCCTGGTTGCCAAGGTAGTTTCTCAAGGCATCTGGCAGCTTTAAGGACAGAAGTGCTCTAGCTCTTTGAGTGAGAAGCTAAGAAGCTGACCAGTCCCATACTGTATCAAGAACTGCTTGACCCAGACCTTCCAAGGCAAGGAGAGGTGAGGAGACATGGCCTGGCCCAATGGACGCATACTCGTGCTCACTTTACAGCATTCAAAGCTGTCTGAGGCCCACAGGGAATTGTAAGGACATAGCCTGTTGGATATGTTTACTTTATATGAGAGACAGAAATCTCAATTGCTTAGAACCTACACAATGGCCAGGAAGAGATTTTCAATGGAGGCCAAATCAGTCACTGGTTCTTTTTGCCAGAATCTTTCACTCTTCTTGCAGTGAGGCTCCAGGTAGGTTGTCTGTGTCAGGCATTCCTCCACAGCCACCAATAACCTGTAAGAGCCCCTTTTTCTTCAGAAACAGGACCTATGGGAATTCTGCAACTTGTAGAATGCTCTAAGGAAAAGATACTACTGGGTGAGGTGCAAGTTCCTTGCTGCTAGTAAAGCTGGGAGATAGTAAGTTCCCTAAGATTTCTTCTGCCAGGCCTGATGTGGGGGTAGGGTGCAGAGGAGTGGGGTAGAGATCTTTAAGCCAAGCTGGTCTCACTCATTAGAAAGTAAACTGCCCCAGAGGGTAATCTGTGACTAGAAGCAGGATGTTTTCTGTCTTTGCCCCAGGGCAGATCAAAGTGCAAATAGCTTCCAATGTGGGAGTCCTAGGGAGTAGGTGTGGGCCAGCAAATTGATATCCCTGGGTCTCTAGTCCTGGAACTGACCAGATTAGATGACCCCAAATCCTCTAAGGCTGCTGGGTCCAAACTGAAGGCAGGCCTGGCCAAGGCTCTCTTCACTCCTCAGTGGGTTAAGGATTGAGGCCAAGCTGTGATGGAGGGAGGCCCCACCCAGCCTATCTACCAGTTTGACTAAGAACATTTTTGTATTCTCTTAAATATCCATTTATGAGTCTTTTCTGGTAGCTTTGGCTTATTTCTTTACACTTTTGAAGAAGTAGTTCTTGGTTCATAATTAATGACTCATGCCTCACCCCTCAGAAAACTCTTGTTGATAATTTTACCAGTGGATCACCATGTATTTCTCAGGCATGGGCTTTTGTTTTCTCCTAGCCAGAGCTCTGCATTCATTACCACACAAGTCAACATTGAGAAGATTCCTATAGATAGGGTGATTATTTTGTCCGAATGCTAAGTGCACCATCTCCCTTATTCTCATGTACCTTGGTAATTGTATCAAATATTTAATAGAGTCCTTGACTAGTATGATAAGCAAAGTTCAGGGTGAAGATGCAGCTCAGTGGTAGAGTGCATGCCTGGCAGTTCAGTCCCCAGCACCAAAACGAGGAAAGGTAACAAATGTTAAGCTCAGGAGGATGGAAAAACAGCACCCAGATTAGCTTTGAGGAGTTGTATCATGAGGGAACACTGGTAGAATGTTTGTAGGGGGAAAGAAGAGAGCCCCTTGATGTGTGTACTCTTTTAGAAAGCAGAGGTAGGAACAGGGGATGAACCTCTCGTAGTCAGCCTAGGCCATGGAAGGAAGAAGCCCTGTCATGTATGTTGCTCTAAAGGGATCAGAGTCTAAAGTGGCACCATCATACCAGGCCATGGCCCAACAAGAACAAATTGGTTGGAAGGACATTCTTGCATTGGAGAGATGTCTTTTGGTCACTTTGGCCTTGCTAATCATATTTCCTTATGCTGTTTCCTTTTTCCTTCCAACTTGTCATACCTATAGCAGATCCTGTCCAGGAGACCCATTCTCTCTAATCTTATTCTCTAAGAGTCTCCCAGTTTATAGCTGTACATATCCTAGACCAAAAAAGTATGGGGTGGATTTTCTGTCAAACATAGATTGAAACTGAAAGGTATCTTTGAAGTAGATTTTGACAAGGTTCTGATATTGACAGTCTTGTGTTGATAAATCCTGGAACTGCGACCAGCTTCTGGTCTAATTCTGAGGTGACAGTGGGAGAGAACAAACCCTTGGCAGGTACATCTCCATTCATGGATGAGCTATCAGCCAACATACAGATGTCTGTTAAGGAGTGATGGCTGGGAAAAGGAAATTTATGGGCGACAGATGAGACCAGCCTTTGGACAAGTGGTTGCCTTTCAGTGTGAGGCAGACAAAGAGTGCCTACGGATACAGAGATATTTTCAGGAAGCAAGACAACTTCACCCACCTCTTCTGAAAATTCACAAAATCATCTGAGAATAACTCAGTAAACCCGAGGTGAGAGACATGTGCTTTGTGCTTCTGTACAACTGCGTTGCTGCATGGCTCTTTATGCTCTTCTGAAACCTCCACAATGTGCCCAGGAGGCAGAAAGCAGAGGAGACTTGGCAGCTTGGCTGCTAATCACTCTGGTCACACTGACTTGGGGCAGTAGGCATGTGCTGGGCATCTACTCCATTCTAGTGGTGTGGGCTCCAGTTGGAACTTTGGTTCTTACCAGGAGAAGGTAACAGTGCCTCTATTCTTGGGCCATATCCCAGGTCAGGATGTCTTCATCTGCAGAGGATGGAGCTTTGCCATAGCTCTCATCTTGCCAGGTTTCTTTCTTTTTCTTTCTTTCTTTCTTGCTTGCTTGCTTGCTTGCTTGCTTTTCTTTCTGTCTTTCTAATGGCCTAGGAATATATGTCTGTTATCAGCTTTAATATCCAAGCCACATAGTTGCTCCAAATCATATTTTATTGATGTTAAAGTAGTTCTTGAATATTACTCTTTATTAGTAATGATATTATTAATATAAGTATAAAGTTCTTCAAACATATCTCTTATTAAATTAATTCTTACAGTGACATTGAAAGCATCTTCTGGAGCAGCATTGGAAAAGATATTGGTTAATACTAAGGATGACGGATGAGAAGTGTGAAAACCAGAACTAAGAGACTTATCAGTGTGACTGGGAAACATCTTCCACAAAGCAGAATCCCAGACTTCTGGAGGCATGTCAGTGTGAGAAAAGGTCTTCAACCAGTTCACATGACCACATAGGTATCTCAATGTTGCCACATAGATATTATTCTGATTCCTATATGTCTCCTATAAGTCTCATGTCCGATGAGCTTTCACAACCCCAGATTTATGAAAGTTTGGTGTCTTCTTTCCTTCAATATTACTTCATACTTTGCTATTGAGTGCATTTTTTTCTTTTAAAACATGAAAACTCAACACCATCTCTTGGACTGAGGCATTTCCTGTCTCCCTATGAATAGATGTTATTTAAGAGTCTTCCTGACAGGTGCCAGTGCCTCACTCCTTTAATACTAGCTACTCAGGAGGCTGAGATCTGAAGATCACAGTTGAAGCCTGCCTGGGTAGAAGAATCCATCAGACTCTCATCTCCAATCAACTACCAAAAAAGCCAGAAGTGGAGCTGTGGCTGAAATGGTAGAGCACTAGCCTGGAGCAAAAAAGGCGTAAGGGCAGGCACCACCCAGCCTGAGCCTGAGCCCCAGATTAGACTTCACACACACACACACACACACACACACACACACGACTTCCTGCCAGACTTGTCCATATGCTCCCATGAAATGGTTGGTGACCTCTCTCTTCAAATGGACTTGCCCTTGTATTCACTCCAGTAATGTGGAAATTGCCTCTCAGTCACCTATAGGTCCATTGGTTCAGGTTGTGTACTTTGCATCCCACTTCCTCTGCTTGTTTTCTGAGGTGAGTCTTATAGCTCAATACAGCTGTCCATACACTTCAAGATGCTGCTTACGGTCTCAGGGCCTGCATTCATGCTCCAAATGGAAAAATAAAACATGACCTGAGACCCTCTGCTTAATTTGAGGACCAGTTATCCAGGCAATGGCAGCTCCCTGTGAATGGCAAACTGGAAGCCAGGCTCAGGGTGTTCACAACAGACAGAAGTGAGGTGTGGAGGGCTTGAGTTGTTCAAAGGAAAAGCAGAGAATAGAGGAAGACAGAGGAACTAGAAAGAGACAATCTACCTTCCCATGTTTCCTTGCAGTTCCTGATCCACAGTATAACTTTTGCTAATTGCTTTACTGTGT